CTACATGCAAAGTCACGTTTGAAAGCCTTTTAAAGTGTCTGTGTGGTTCAGCATCTTGCCCAAGGACTCTTTGACATGAAGACTAGAAAAGCCAGGAATTAAACCCCGACATTATGAAACTTCTACCATCATACTTACAACCATTTAAATTAATCTATTGCACTTGTTTTTTTCTTTATATTGACTTAAATGCATTATTATTGCTTAGTCTGTGAAATATAGAGAGCTAGATGCATGCAATGAAAGTTAGATTTTCTATCTATCTTAGGTCATTTGTTCCAAGACTAAAAGCTTTAACTGTGGTTCTAAAATACAAGGGAGCAACCGCTTGACTCTGCTAAATGATCAATAATGAAAAACATAAGAAGATTTAGAAACTCACCTTCAACAAAGTCATAGCAAACAGTGTGGTGGAAGAGTACATGTGCCTCTGACTCTAATGAAACCACAGTAAAATATCAGATAGAATATTAATACGATAGTAACTCGGAGAATTGTGCAATGCGTCACGTTCGTACTTTAAATTACATCTAATATTGAAGAAAACAGGCAATCTCATTATCAGACCACATTACAGATTCCTATTTAAATTCTACAGTCACTTGAGCCCATTTACATAACCGTCACAACTCAAAAAATCTGGGAGAGAGTGTGTAGTGTAATGAGCTTGAGTGAAAGTTGTTGTTTTTGTTAGTCTGCACAAATTAAATACTTGAATGGTAATAGGTGCTTTTGCAGTTCTTTAGTCCTGGAACTGAAAACAAATTCTGCAATTTGCAGCCGTGCTAGGTTCATTCCAGGCTGTAAGCGGACATTTCAATTTGGGCAGAAGCATTCAAATGAAACGAGGCCAGGCGTCTCATTATATGGAAGGGTTTATTGTGTAAGGATTTTTTGCTGAGGTTATCTGAAATGGCTTCTATGATTATATGACGACACTTGGTGTGGCTTGTAATTAGTCTGGCTCACTTTAATATTTCTGCTTTTGCATACAGAGCTAAATTTATCTATATTAAATTGACAATCTTGTGCATTGTTCCTTTGTTCTTCTACACTATCTGCTTATATGTGCCTATATGTGATGTATGTATTTTTAAGTTCACTGCTAAAGTGCTACTTCCTATTTAGTATTCACCTCACTGCATCTCCATACTGTAATTGACTCTGAAATGAGGGGATATTAGTGATAAGCCCTTCAGGTTTGTCAGGCCCGCTTATCACCCGACCATTCGTCCTCTGGCATTCACATTCCATCCATCCATCTATCCATCCATCCTTCACCTCATGGTGTACTTTTCACCAACAGGCTCAGAAATCAATTTGCAGTCATAAAGCATAGGAAGAGGAGGAATGCGATCTTTCAGCTCAGACAGATTCTGGCGCTCTCCCCATGACGTGTTTGAGTTTCTTCATGACCCAACAACATCTCAGAGCCAAGGCTTTGAAGGAGCACATGGCAGCTCATGCAATACGGTGGAAACTTGGAGACCGTATTGCATGAGGTGTTAGTTGGTGTATGTGAGGTAGACAGAGAGAAATATTGATTTAAACTAGATAGGATAATCTGGTGTGTTGAAGCATAATCTTCACAGTCTGATAACTAAGTTTGAAACTATGAATAGAAGATAGAACATTTCTATCTTGAAGTTCATGTGCTTTATCAAAGTGGAACTGGTAAATCTATGTGAATGTTTTTCATGTATTTAATGTGGGAAAAGAAAAGAAACAGCTTTCTTTATATTCAACCGAGTTTGAGGAGGTCATTTAATTATTTGAGTTTATTGATTAGTTTATCGACTAGATTAAGTTGACAATGCTTTCACAGTAAATTATTTACATTTCTGTTTTTTAATGTATTATTTAGATAATTTATATTTATGTACTCATCTTTAAAACAGTGAGAATAACTTAACTGTTGTGTGGATCCCTCATATTTACTCACTGACTATATATAAAAGACCCTGAGTCCTTTAATTGTTTGTGAAGTCTGGATTTGAAGCTTCAACCTGAGCTTGATTGGTTACATTGTAACCCAGGTTCTCTGAGGGGAGAGAATATCGTGCCACTCTATTTATTCTACATCTATGGCACTTGAGAGACGTTGACACAGTAATTCCAAAACATACATGTAGGTGTTGGATTTAGACATAAAGCACTTGCATAGAAATAAACTCCGGCCTCTAGTGTAAAGTGTGTGAAGACTAGAAAGGTGGTATATAAATCCAATTCTACCTTCCTGGTTCCTGTTACTTCGTTTAGAAGTACCGTAC